AAATTCAATTCCATTCTTGCCGTCACTTCTTGGCGTTCTTATATACAAGAATACCGCACATCTAGTAAACACTCGAGGCTTCACGAACGGACATGAATTTTCTAGAAGCTCATGACGTGTTACTAGCGTCGCACTACTTCCGCTGTCGTAACAATAATATAAATGTATCGATATTACGCTACCTGTTAGAATCTGACCTTTGATGATGAATAACCGAGACGCAACGCGCCTTTTCACCTTCCTACAACTAATTTATGATATATTTTAAGTGACATTCAGGTAACTTTTTGTGTTGGTGTTCTCCTCATACCTATGATATCTGTGCTAACGGGATGTTGGAAACTTGTAAACATGTGCTAATTTTAGCGACAGTTTGTGGGAAGAGTGACATTTTAGAACCCCGGTGGGACGGCGAAAAGTCTATGAAGTTCCAACGCTAAAATCCAGGGTTCGATTCCTCGCTGTGGTTACAACAGATAGCTCAATGTGGCTTTGCTATAAAACAAACAAGATATTTTAGATTGTTAGTAAGCAGTACAAAACGCTTAATTACCTTATACATTATTAATGGGCACAAAATTACAAAAGTATGTTGTATTGTAACATTAAGAAACTGTAGTGCTTCCAACTACTTCTCTATTAATATTACCTTATAGATTATGTGTAAATCCCTTTTTACTTTGAGAATAACTTCGTCAAAAGTCACCATTTCGTTTGTCATAAAATAAAAGTTTCTAATTTACGACCAACTCTTGATTACCACAAGTCTAGACACAAGTCATTTCGTATACATGTATTCATGTTTATCTGTAAGTGTAAACTACTTATACATGAACTTGATATAAACTTGATAAAACGTCGTACATTTATAATAAAGTTTTCATCATTACTCAGTCAAGCTGTCTCCAAATTTTTATTTGGTATAAATATTTTATGACATTTTTTGCGCATGTCCAGCAGTGTAGTGCTTGTTCAGGATGTTTTCAAATGACATTTGAAGATTTTTGTAATGTGACTGTGAGAGACGCGTGTCAGATCGTGTAATATTTAGTATTGCAGTTTAAACGTCTCAGACCTCATGTTTCATAGCCAACTCAGGTGTGTGAGTTTATATTTGTATTAGGTATATGGTTTGTTGAATTTATTTTCATATTTCTTGAAATCAAACGAAATTGTCATTGCAATGGGCCGTCACACAAATCTGTCATTGTCAGAATAATAAATATTACTATTACTAATAGGGCATTCTGATTAATGGACTTCAAATTCAATTCGAAATACGTCAAAAGCTTAAACTTACGAGTGTGTTTGTTGTTATTTGTTAGAAGATAAAGATTAAAAAGTGTTAAGTTGCTGCTGATGGTGAAAGTGTATATGTCTAACAGTAACAATAACATTCTCTTACAACTTAGTGTTTTAATTTAGTTTAGGCCTTTGTAAGGGTTGCATAATTATAAATTTCGCCACATAATGCATATTTTTTAATATTTAATCATTGCATATTCAGCAGTTTTAACTTTTAATACAAGTATTATGGTGCATAATTTTAATGAGTTGGTTACATACTTGTAGTTTTAATTGCAGCATTAAAATTAAAAGGCAATCATGGTCCTTATATATTATAGTAATTATTATAAATTATAACATTAATCAATTTGAAAAGATCAACTATATGTCTCACAAAATACAATAATTATACAAAATAGATTACCCCCCCCCCCCACTCTATTGAAATTTAAATACATGTTTGGCTGAGTTGTTAATTCTTTTAGAATTTGTAAAATACCTTGATTTAAGAATTAATGTTAATAAGTGATAACCATGAATAATGTTTTGACTTGTTTTCAGGGATAAAAAATTTTGATACATAAATTACTGGTAATTAAGGTATTTTCACACATAATAAGTTCAAAAAACTTATATACGGTTGTAATTGAGAATAAGAATAATTTCTAGAATAAATGCTGTTTCTTAAATTCTTTGTGTTAATGATGTAAAGCATTACTAAAATTAATTGTAGAATATGATAACCAGTACAGTAAAACTCATAATTAATGGATTTTTCTTGACTCTGTAACAAAATACTAACAATAAAATATATAGATAACTTATGTTACTATAGCAACCAAGTATGTGCCCAAATGTAACTAAAATACATGCTTCTGTTTTGTAAGTTTAATTTTAAGATTAGAAAATATTAGAAAAGTTCTGCCAATATATTCATACAATTGTTATCACCATTTTAAATAAAAATAGTCTACCAAACTAATTACAAAGTATACTATTTAGCATTTTCACTAATTAACAGTACTGGTTAGAATATTTAATATATACTTTCTATTATCATATATTTCTATTATAATGATTATTTTGCATTGTTAACTTAATATATGATTTAGGACTAAAGCTCTTACCCCTGCCAAACTTAGCTATTATTAGGATTATGGCCAAATATGTCACTAACATCAAGGCTACCTAACTGATGAATCAATGGATTATAATCATTATAAGTAAGAATGGTATATTAAAGTAGTTGTATTTATTTAATTCTTTTTATTAGTTCATTTATTTATTAGTTCTTGTGTATATTAATAACTTGCTTTGATATAAAACTGACAAATATATATATTTTTATATTAGTCTTACTATATAGTAATATTGAAGTTCTATTAGTAAAATTAAACATTTTTGTTTTCTGTGTACATTTTCTAAGATTCAAATCCAAAAAATTGAGCCTTTTTTTAGTAATATTTTGGAAGTTAAGAAGTATTATGCAGTAGGAGGATTTTTTATAATATTTTATGTAAAAAAATTTCAAAAGCTTTTTTTTTTGCTATCACATAAGTATTGGCTATTTTTTTTCTTTATAACTGTATATTGTAAACTTGCTGGAGTACCCATCCATTGGAGGGGTGAAACTCATTTGTAAAATAAGGATACGAAATTGAGCTTCTGTTTTTTTTTAACATAATAAACATTAAAAATGCGATAAAAATACATAAAGGTACCAATACTGAAAAGAAAGACATACATGTTGGCAAGACTTCTATCAATATGAAATTAGATGGGGGGTCCAACATCCCGTCCTGTCATCCTGTATCAAGCTTGATGCTGGTTGATCAAGAAATGTGGAAATGTATACACACAAATTTTGACGTTTATTTATATAAATTTAACCAGTCAGTGCTATTTTTGTAGTGTTAGGCTTTGATATTCTTAAGTGCTACACTAAGGATGAATTAGTAAGAACATTACATGCATAAATTTGTTGTTGAATCATTGAAATATTAGGACTGTTTTCTTTACCAATTGGTTAAAAACTTGCTAGGAATAATGCTATTTCAGATACATTGTTAACTTACAATGCAGAAATAATTGAAAGAGTAGAAATTATAGGAAATATCTTAACCATTTATAACTTGTATAATATATATAGTCTTTAGATACTATTCAGGAAATTTCTCTAAATTTTTGTGTTGTGCATAGAGCTAATTTTATAAACCTTGCTTCTACTTTATTGGCTTTCAGAAAATAATTAAATGATTAAGAGGGACAGATGAGGGCATTTGTATTGTGATGCTTGAAGAGAAATTTTTAGACTGTTGCAAGATGAATTACTGGGAAAACGTTTGCCAAGAATTTTTTTCATTAATCAAGAAATAAAGTTAGAGTTTTGAAGGTGATCAGATGCCAACAAGTGATTTTCCTGAATTCTTTTTCAGTTTGCAGGTTCAAGGAGAAATTGGAGACTATCCTACATAGAGTATAAATGACAAGAAGTGTAGTCTGTGGAAATGGCAGCAGGATTTCAAGAGGAACTTAAGCTTTTACATGCAAGGGATAAGGTAGCTAATAATGACTTTCAGGCAGTTAGGAACAGTAAATATAGAGAAAATAATTAGATTATGCTATCTAGGAGCTAAGTTGGAAGACGTGACTACAGAGTAAGTGATAATGTAAAGGGTGCTAGCAGTGATCTCTGTGGGAGTGGGGGATAAGTTAGCTCATTGGATAGAAAAGTAGCTGGATGTAAGAAAGCAGAGTAGTGTTTATATGTGAAGTTCAGTCAAACTGTATTAATGTTATAACTTTGCAACCTCAAGACTCAGTGTTAGAATCTTTGCTCATTTTGATATACAACAATGATAAAGATGAAGGAAAGGTCAATAAATTACTTAAATTTGCTAATGACTTTTAAGATTTTGGTTATTGCTATCTTTGAGGAAGATGCTGCTGCTTTACAAGAGAATTTAAATTAGTTGATGCATTTGGTAAATAAATAACAGATGGCTTTTAATTATAATAAATGCAAAGTAATACATTTGGGTTATCATAATTTTTATTATTGATGAAAACCAACTCAGTAGCAGGACTTGTGATACTGGTGGTTAAATAACTCAAGCCATCAAAGTAAAACTATTAGATTTTAGTGTATATTTATTGTTGATTACAAGCCAAAATATGTAACTCTATTATAAATCACTAGTTAGATCTAACTTTTAGTACTGGGTACATTTTGTCTCTTTACCAAACAAAGGATATCTCCTTATTGTAAAGGGTTCAGAGGAGTGCTACTAGGATGATTCAAGGGATAGTTAAGACATGTAATTTTCTCTTCAAGAGAGTAAAAGGTGATCTTATTGAAGTTTACAAGTTCATGCAGAGGATTCACAGGATAAAGGTGTCTGATTAAAACAGGATAAGAAGATGCAAGTTTAAGATTTGAAAAAGATGGGCTAGCTAAGACAGTATTATTTTTCTAAGAGGGTGGTTGACTTATGGAATGAGTTGGGGCTGTAAGGGTAGATTTTGACCATCAAAGGTTTGGAATCCTTTACCGAATGAAGTTTCAAATGTTTGATAGTAATAATTTGCAAAATGTACTTATATAATCACCATAACTACTAGTGTATATTTGGTGAAACAACCTTTTATTGTATAGGTAGTCCATATAAATTAAATAAAACATTCACACGTAGCTTCAAAATATTGATTAAATAACAAGAAGATCAAGACATGTTTTAAATGTAGTGAATGCAATCTTCATTTCTCTTATAAATAAATCCAAAAGAAAATGAGCATTTTACAAGATTTCAACTGAGGGAGATGACAGTGACAAATCTGAAAGTCTGTCTGATGATCTGTTTTAAAATATATATATATACATTTGAGAATTTGTTCTAGACAGAGAGTAGAGCATCATAAAAAAGGATCTGTTATTTCATCTCTTTCAGTGTATATGTGTTATCAATATCACTGATAGTCGGTCCCACAGCAAAATAAGGCAATAAGGTATTCTTGAGGTATCACCTAATTAGTCAGTGGAAAAAATCACTGCCTGCCTTCATAGAACAATGGGAAACAAGAACAAAAGGAACTTAGCCACGTTTGTTGATTGATGTCCTGCTTTTGAACCTGAGTTTTGTTAACTTTAAGTGCTCCCTTTATTAAATAAAGGAGATAAAAAACACCTAGTATGGCTACACTATAACTTTCTTGAGGTTAGTGGATTTGTATATTATTAACAACAAGGGACCATTGGCCCTTCAAGGCTGTCCTGCACATGCACCCTGTAGTTTTTTGGCAATTGTGTTTCCCTCATAAACTTGTGTAGATAAATTACTAGTAGTATTATCAATACTTGGTATATCAGTTTAATAATAAATATCAAACTAGTAGTATTATCAATGCTACTCTAGCTATAACATAACTGTAAACAACACCAGGTACTATATCTACCATAACTAAAACATAATGATAGTAAGTAATAGTGGATTCATTACTTTATGTTTTTTCAGGAATGAAGTGCTGCGGTTGTACAACATTACTAATTTTGTGCCGTTTTGTTTTCCCTTCTTTCTCTCAATTCAACCAATCAGTGCTTGTGTTTAGACTCAGACGGGACCAAAGGCAGTTAGCTCAGACAATACTATCAAGTGGTTGTTGATATCATGTGATTGTTAGCATGTATTCATTGATGTGAAAGTAAATAAATATAGCCCCCATTTCCCGGTACAAACAGTAGTGAAGTTAGGTTAGGCACACCAAAAATCCTTTGCTTATTGTTATACAGTGTTGTAGTGATGAGTAGATTAAACCTGCTTGGCCTATCAATATCTCAATGATTATTTTTATTTTACTTTCATTCATTGCAAGAATCCACCTAAATTACAGTTATTTAGTCTACTATTTTAATAATTACACATATTGAAGTTTAACTTCATAATATGTTATATAATAAAGTTTAATAATGAACCCTTTGTTTTTTAGTGTATAACTGTATGTCTCATACCTTAACCATACAACCAACTCAAAATATATTCCATAACTTTTCTATATTGGACCTGGCTACCAGATCTGAAAATATTTGTCAAGGCCTGGTATATTGTAAGCCCAAGTAACATACTGATAAAATCATGGAAGTACTGAAGATGAAAGTTGAACCCTTATCTGATGAAGAACAAAGTACTTTATTGGATGTTAAGTTCCTAAAAAATGAAGGAATAAAAACATCACCTTGTAGTAAGTACAAAAGTTTTTTAATGTAGATCATTCTTGCTATTATAGTGACTGTTACCTTTTTAATTATTATATCTTTTAGATCATTCACTGTAAATGTTTCATTTCCTACAGAATAAAGCCATAATATGTCCAGCAGTAATATAAGAATGCTTGGTGTTTAATCTAACAATGTGGCAAACTAACATCCATTAACACATCTCACAAATTTGATTAAAACATTTTTATTTTGTAAATAGCAGCCACAACAGTATTAGAAGATAAAACTTTATTGTCATAACAAAATGCTTTAATTTCAGATCCTTAGCTTCTTCAATATCAAAATCACAAAATTTAGCAACTTAATACAATATACTATTTGTGTGAAGATGGTTGAAGTCCATGTCAGTTATTTTTATGTAAATTTCATAAATCTAAATTGGAACTATTGTTTATATCAGTTCCCTATGTCATATAAAGAATCAAGGTCATCAAACATAGTACTTGATATACAGTATCATAACTCAAACAGTTAACCCTCACTAATTAACACATGGACTTTTTTCTTTCTTAGAAATTTAACCATTGAAATAAGTAACATATGCTCTACATGGGTTTATCTCTTTCAGGACAGTAAACTATGAAATAAGCAAGAACATATATATTAGAAATGTGTTATCAAGATAGCAGAATTATTCAGTATATATATATATATATATATATAGATATATATAGTTATTTTCTATAAAAAAAAAAACAGGTTTAGAAAATGCACATAAAATAGTATGAAAATATCTGTTATTATTCAGTTTATTACATAAGCAAATCAGAGAGCATAATTGTACTTGTATATTTCTGTGTATGTCACAAAATTTACTTTATACAGATTATACTTAACATAAGTTTGCGCATTCAGTGATATTATTGAGTTAACAGATTAAGTGATGGTTTCATAAATGTTATGTAGCTTGTGTTATGTTCACTTGTACTGTGTTTAAGGAAATGTATCATGTATAGAAATAATGTTGCATGATAAAGAATTACTGTTATCAAGTAACATAAAGCAAAAAACTAACAAGGTACTTGATATGTATTGTAGATTCATGGACTTGAGATATGCTTGGTATTGAGCAACATTTACAATCTCTAACATACACACACACACACTATTCATACTGTAAAGATGATCTATTATATGTGTGTGTGTGTGTTAGCATCCATCACCTAGAGTTGACTGAATCAATTACCATAATATTTTTGTATGGTAACTAGAAACTGTTGGACAATATACATGGGCTATCTTGTTTTAGGATTTTTTCTAAAAATGTGGGTAAACAAACCCCCAAATAGGGCACATTTCCACTGTTTTATTGAGTTTTGGCTTTTATCACCCATAGTTGGTTTACCTGATTGCTATAATTTTTGTATGGTAACTGTAAACTGTACAATAATGTACACAGGCTATCTTGTTTTAGAATTTTTACATAAGAAGGGAAATAAAAAGGCATCTGAAATTGGGCACATTTCTCCTTTTTTATAAACTTTTAGCTTTGAACTAAAGACAAGTACTTAATCAGTTAAATGAGTCAATTATTACCTTCTTCGAAGCAAGGTATGCAATTAGCATCTAATGGGGTCATTAGGGATTTAGTAACAAAAGAAAGAAGGAAAGGGAAAATTATCTGACACTGTTTTTTTATATAAGTTTTACTTTCTTAATGGGTACCCTCAGCTATTTATAATAAAGTTGTTTTTCATGTGTGGAGTAATAATTTACAATCTCTAACACATCTCCATACACTACTCGTAATAAGTTATTTTTTAACTCTGTATATTATATTAATGTCATGATTTGAAAAAATATAAAATTTGTAGCCTTAACAAAAATACACCTTGTACTACATCAAAATTACCTAACAGATTTAGCAAATGAATTAATTCACACAAAAATTTGAATATTTAAAAAAACATTGAAAGCTGCATTCCAAATATTATTTTAAACTTTTACCTTATTTTATATTATCTTATAATGTGAAGAACCCCTGTTTCAGTGTTTTTACTAAATGCTGTATTTGGCCAAGATTTGAAAAAAATGTTATTTTATTGCTGGAATGACAAAGTGCTGCTTTAATTTATAGTTGCTTTATTATGGGTAATAAATTAATGCAATTTTCATTGTGAAATAAAGTTCATTTTTATCACATACATCCTTGGTTAGAACTAAGGTTGTTCATCACGTGCCACACAAGTTTTTGTGCCTATACACTAATCATACTTATCATAATTTACCAGATACTGAGAACAATTTGACTTGTCACACATACAGTGTTTCAAAAGAAGTATTTGAACAGTTCCTTTGAATCTTGATAAATATTTTACTTTTGTGTTCTTTTTGTGGTATGTCACTGTAATGTTTTATCTTAAACTTACATCAGGATTAGATATGAGTAAACATTACTCTGTGTCAAATATTGTAACAAAGACAATAACTGAATAAGGTATATTTAATTTATGTATCTTATAATAATGATAATGATTTATCAAAAAGTTAAACAGGCATTGATGGATGATCATGCAAGTTTATGATTGATCACTTCGTAAATGAATTCATTGATCTATTATTCTTTACAAGTAAACATTTCTTAATTGTTTTGAACTTTAAAAAAAGAATAACAGACTGAAATTTCAAGTATAATATGGTAGTTTTCTAGCATAAAATTTAAGCCTTAACTAGTTTTGAAGAAATATATTTTCAGTTGACTATAAAACTAGTGTGTTAGCTATGTAACAGTAGATAGTTAAGATTTATTACATTATATCTTGTTACATACACTAGTATATATAATGTGCATCTCTTGAAACAGGAAAAAGTAATTCCTTAGAAGGACATTCTGTTTTTGGGTTTGTTAAAGTGAAAATGGAAGAAGAAAAGAACTGTGATGAAGTAAGAGAAAAGGTTGAGTTACTTTTAAATTTGAATTTTTTTCTACATCTATTGACACAAAAAAATTGCTATATAGTTTTGAGGTAATATTTAGACAGTATTGTTATAATCTTTCTGATCTATATTTAAGTGGAATCTAATCAATGCAGGCAATGTTTGTATTAACAACCTTAAGTTGTAGACAGACATATTAGAGTAATAAAACCAGTTATATTTTTCATATTATATGACTATCATTGGTAGTCCATGGTGTTAACCTTGAGCTTTATTAATATTCATTAGTAATTATAAGAGAAAATTACTTTAGTTAGATTTTTGGTTGGTTTTGTTTTGGTCATATGATCAAGAAATTTGTACAAGTGTTTGAATGTTTCAAATTGGTTAAATTGGTAAATAATGATTGAAGATTTTATGAATTTCAAAATGTGTATGGTTTCAGAGCAGTGATTCATATCTGATACATTTTATTTGTTGTTCTTGTAAGGACAAATAAAAAATAAATGTATAGATAATTTTATCTGATGAAAAATGTGGGTTAAATCTATTAACTTCAGTATCTTAACTGTATCATATCTAGCTCCATATTAACACATGGCTGAAAATGTGTTAGTGTGAGTTGTTATTCTTTTCAGTACCACCAACCAGTAAACTGTTTTAGCACTATGTTTTTCTTCCTTGGATAACATTTCAAGTGCTTAAATATCTTGTGTTTATAACTGTGTAGGTAAGTAAAACATCTCTAGGGAAATTTGAATCAAAATGTGTTTTTGTACAGTTTAATTCAGATATACTTCTACATACAGTGTACAATGATTTTATTGGACTTTATATTTGTTTTGTAATATACATAAAAATTATTAACAGAGATGTCATTTTTGGTACAAGTGAACAATTGTCCCCCAGATCCTGGTTTGCCCCTCCCTCCAAGATCTACAGGATATAATAATATATGCAAGATTATTATAGTTTTCTTCAAAGATGAATAAAAGAATCACAGTATAGAAAATGTTCTATATGCTGACACATTTTTGCTCCCACCCCCAAATTCTTTCAAAAATTCTACTGATTATTAATTTTAATAAAGTATTTGCTTTTACCATTCATAGCATTATTGTATTCATGCTATTGTTCAACAACCTTTGGTATTATGAGTGTTTTTCAAATAACCTTGTTTCAAGATATTATCTCATAAACTTCGGAAATTTCATAAATACCAATAACACTGAAATGCCACCTGTATCTTATTGTGCCTTACATTTAGTGCCAGCATTAGCTGTTCATTACTGATCTTCTGAATACGTATTTCAGAACACATTTGTCAGAATGACAGCTGAGCTGCCTGGTGATTTACAACATGATGAGGTTATTTCTGAGTTCAGTGAGAGTGTTGATGGTGAAATACATCTAGATAACTTAAAAGATGAAGTGATGAGTGGGAAAGAAGAAGATGAATTTCAAAAAGAGCTGCAACAACTTGACTCTAGGTTAGAAAGTACAACTGGTAAGTATAAGTACTCCTTAACATTTCTTTATTCATTAACATTGACTAAGAATAATGTTTTCTCATAGAATTAAACCTTTGTTATAGAAAATCAGAGAGCATCAACTGCATGATTTAGGATAACATTCAGTATACATTAAATCTGTGTTTCTTTTGTTTTCCTATCATTTATTAAGAGAATCCTGTATTCAAAACCCCTAACTACATTTTGTTAAAAATCTATATCCAATTAGTTGAATAATGTTTGTTACAGAAACTTACAATGTGGTACATTACCTCCACACACACATAAATAGCTATTCCTGTTCAGTGGTGCCCTCTGTATGCAACAAATTTTTTTTTGCATGCCACAAACCTTGAAACTCCCACTTACCTGGAATAAATTAATAGTGATATTTGTAACTTGTTGAATTACTCCAAAGTGGACTTATTTTATATTTCTTCCTTGTTACAGAACTTATTACTTCATTACAAAAACTTTTTATTTGTTTCTGCCAACACAGTTGTGTTTGGTTATTCATTTTGCATAATGAATTCTACATTACTACTTTGGAGGTTATATGTTCTATTAGCACATTTACACAGGCTTCAGTTCACGGTTCTCTGCAGGAAGATGTTTGGCTTTACTTTGTCGGGAGATTGACCGTCCAATGAACTGACTTTTTTCAGGCCTTACCTTGAGTTTGGAGGCCCACACATTTAAAATACAGTCCACTGACTCTGAAAAAATAAGACGTTCTATTGTTATGGTTGTTGAATAATTGTATCATTAATATTATTATCTGTAGTTATTTGTGTTCCATAACACAAGTTTTGTTAGATTGGTTAATACTCATAGCCAGGTTCAGGTTAGCAATTAGTCTTAGTTGTATCTTTTCTCCTGTACCATTTGCATAGGCTTACCATGGTCTTTGTTCTTTTAGGATTACCTGTATTTCATCTCACTGGTATATCAAGCATTAGTTTAACTATATTGTCTTTTCTTCCATACATCACGTCTCATACATATGTTATTGTTACTACACACTCCCCTAATTTTATACAATCATGTCTGTTTCATTTTCGCTATTATTCCTCTTTTATCCTTTTACTATTCACTTGGTTTGTGTGGAACCCTTGAGCTGGGGTCCGCATAAACTTCTTCCAATATTGTACATACTTATTGTTCGGTTAAGTTTTTTAGTGCCTAGTGATATCTTTTGTTCTGTATTGTTTGATTAGGCTTTACAAGTGTTTGTTATTTTCAGTTTACCTGTAGTTCTACTTCCGGATTAATCCATAATTAGGTTAAATATCTTGTTCGATTAGGCTTAATAAGTGTCTGTTATTTTTGGTTTACCCATGGTTCTATTTACGGGTTAATCAATAATTAGGTTAAATATCTTTTCTTCAACACATAACATCACATACATATGTTTTTGTCCTATACAGGCTTTAATTCTTTTTGCCTTGGCTTACCATCAGGCAGATTTTCTTCTTGATTTTATGTCATTCTCATCTCTGTTAATCCTATCTATTTTGCCCTATACCTAGTTTTTTAGCTTTGTCTTACCCTATCAACACTCCTACAGTTAATGTTGACCTTCCACCTCCTTTCTTCGGTGTTCCACTTATATTTAGGGATATCTCCTCCTTCTTCCCTTCATATTGGGATGTTTGTCATCTTCAGTTCATTCCCTCTACCCATGGCTTCTTTACTTTTAGGGTGGTACACTGCTGTTTGTTTACCTTTCACTGCTAATAGGGTCTTATGGTCAGTTTTTTTCTCTCCACCGGTCAGTTTTTTGGGTTACTCATGTACATTTAGCATCACATGGGGTATCTACAATTCAATTGTTTTTCTTTTTTGTTAGTTACTAATTTGTCTCATTCTGAGATATTATCATCTTTATTCATTTTATATGTTCGGCACCTACCCGTCTTTTACCTGTCTTACCTGTGGGTTTTCTTCATTCATCTTGTCTGCTCAATGCTGAATGGAGTTCTGGTTTGATAGGTCCTACCTCAATCACTTCTTGGATCTTCCCTGCTTTAATATGTCATCTTTGATCACATTTGGATAGGCTGTTTCTGCAGGACTTATAATGTCCATGGTACACATTATTATCTTTGTATTTTTCACCACGTGATTAGGTACCAATTTTGTGTCTACCTTTGGACTTGTTTTGGTTCCATATGTCTTTTGTGGGGAGGTCAGCATTTTACCTGACTTTCACACATTTGGGGGATTTTATAAACACCATTCATTAGATGTCTAGCTTTGGTTTGCTCCTTCCAACTGGGGGTAGTCTTAACATACTCGGGTAATTGTTTTTTCCTGTTACATACCTCACATTCTAGTCTCTTTGGGGTGTGTATTTATACACCCCTCCAACGGGACTATCCATTTTCCTCCTTGAATGCATTCAAAGGTGTTTTCTGTTAATCAAGCCTTTACTTTGTGTTTTCCTCTTAATTTTCATCCTTCCCTCTTCCTCTATATGCGTTGATAGTTGAACATATCCTCATGACATCAGGTTTACTGCTTCCTCTCCCTCTTCTGGAATGTTTCTCTTGCCTGATGCTCATCTCCAAAGGTAGGAGGCTTCAGGTTAATGGTCTCCAGTTGAAAGGTCTTATCCCCTTCGTACCTAAGCACTTCTACCAGTCCGAGGTGCTTTAGTTCATACTCTTTTTCTTGTCCAGTTTAACTAATCCTGTTTTCTTTTGACTTTTTGATGGTGGTGGCTTATATCACTCACCAAGGGAACACTCCTACTTGTTCCCTTTGAGGTAAACAGTGGATTTCTTTTTTTTTAACCCATACACTTGACACAAGTCTCCTGGAGGATCGTGTTCTAGGTGCTTTGTCCTCATTGTTAATTGATTTTCCAGTCTTGACACACTTTCTCCCAAGGAGTGACCTCTCGATCCTCCTAATTTTTGGTGGCTCTGCCTCCTGTGGGGGTATTCCTCTATGTGAAGTTTTGGAATCTTTTATCTCTTCTCAGTTAGTTACCTCTTTTGTTTCTGATCTCTGGTTCATCATCCACTTACCCTGGCTGTCATTAAGTTCAGACATGTTTACATGAGTTGTTACTCATTCCACCAGTCTTCTTTCCTAAAATTTTGTGTGTCCATGTCACACCGGTTCAGGTATTTCTGATTGATCTTTCTTGGCCAGCACTGCTTTGGTTTTCTTGGCTATTTTGGCTCGATTTGTTTCTTCAGTTCTAGATTGATTTTATTAACCTACATTTTAGTGGCTTGTGTGGTATATTTCTTTCGGCTTTTTTGTTTTTTACCATCTTCCACATTTCTTCTCAGTGGGATCCAGATGACCTTCTCTATCTAGTACATGTTGTGGGTTGCTTCATTGTTTTCAATGCTCCTTACATTGAATCCATTTCCTCCCCTTACTCCACTTCTTTGTCTGTGATATTTTCCCTTCCTCCCTTACCAATTAGGTTTAGATTGTGATTATATTGGCCTTTTATTCCTTGTCTCCTTCTTCCCATCATCACTTCCTGGTGTCTTCACTCTGATCATGTACCTTCCCTTTTCCCTGCATGTCTACCCTGCCATCCATTGGAGATACTTCGTATGTTGAGCATTGGGGTCTACATCTTATACGTTCATCTCCAATTCTCTGCTTTGGGTAGCTGTTTCTTCCTTGTTAGGGTACTGTTATCTACCTGTTGCCATTCTTCACTCTTTCATGAGACTGTGACTGGATAAGTCACCTTTTAGTATATATACCTCTTCTTTTTCAGGGGCATGGCCCTCATTTTATTTTTGGATTCCGCTCTGTGGCAAGTGGTGCCTGACCAGGTATTCTTTAACCATTCAAATTCACACTGTAAGACCATGTTGACTTGCATATTATGATTTCATGGCCATGCAACTGCGGAGATGGGGTGTTGCACAAGATCATTTGTAAGTTTATTCTCGTGATGGGTTTGCTTCATATGTTTGCCCATTCCAGACCACACTCACCCATGGACTACAAGGGTAAAGCAGAAGGGGATAGCTGCCTGTCCCTGTCCTGCCTTGTATTTAATAAATTGGTATGGTCACCCAGTGCACTGTCTCAGGTGTTGTCGTTCCTCCAGACTCTCTACCACACTTACTCCCCCTTTTTCTTCTAGTGGAGTTTGAGAGTTCTTACCACTTTCCAGTTCCAAGCTACTGCGGTTGTGAATCGTGGAGGCATCTGCCTGAATGTGTTAATGAAAAACAAATAATATACATAAATGATTATAAAACCATTCAGTTGAGAGTAGGATGGTGATGTTCTGCTAGTGTAGATAATGAGATATCTTCCACTGTGAAATATGGGAGTGAGCCATCAAAATTGCAGTTCACCTCTTCGATTAGGATCCCTCATCCTACCCCCATATGGATGTCAGTTCCCAGTGGCTGAGTTTTGGAGTTAGAGCTGAACCAATCAACATAAGTCTTCACACGTGTATCACAGATGTCTCTATTTACTCATTCATTTATACTCTTGTTACTCCATCTGTGTTGTGGGTCACAGTGGAGGTACATGCAGATTACTATGATTCTTCCCCTTCTTCTATTCCTTGATGCTTATTATTCTGAGGATGTTACTATACTTGGGTTCCACTCATTATATATTTCAGTGAGATGGTTTACATTACACAGACATCTTTCCGATGCCAGATGTTGGGTTCCTGTATTGATCATTAAATTTCTCACATTGTTATCATCTGCCCATTCATAGGTCAGGGGGTATGAGATTCTCTCCGGTTTCATGAACTTGAGGTGAAGATGGTATGATCCTCTTTGCAACCCCCACCAGATGTCTTGGTTTTGGATTGTATTAGACATGCATGAGATGAGTGGGAATGGCAGACAGATAATAGCAAAAGAGAATAAAGTTGGTGTGAAGTTAACTACCGTAGAAGTGATAGGCCTAACGTTTAATATGTTAGAGTGGAACTAACAGTAGAAAAGAAGATAAAAAAAAATTATTCTGTCAAAGCATGGTTCTAAAGTAA